GGTGGAGCACATTCTCATTTCAAGCTTTGAGTGGTGCTTGACAGCTTGGGCATGTTCTTAAGGTCTGCCCAGTATACAGGTCAGTGGGCTAATCCTGCAGCGTCACTCACATGTTCCTAGCGCAAGCTGAGCCAGATGCCCACATCGCAGCATACAGTGCCCTTACAGAAAAAAATACCTTAAACCTTCTGAACACGTGCTTGTCAATTACCCTTCTCAGGAGGCTTTGCATCTGAGGACGGAATGTTATCCAGAAAAACAAAGACTCTATAAATGCTCCAAGAGTTCTGAACAACTTCTGGATAGCTCTGTAAAGCCAGGATAAGTAATAGGGGTGTAGCAATTGACAAAAGTGCTCCGTTAAAGTTCATTAGCAAACATTTAGATCAATAAAACTGATGAACCACAATTCTGTTAAGTAAAGGAAACTGATACACACACAGGGAGATCAGGTGGCCTTACCAAAGTAAACAGGTACCTGCAATATTTGACCAGCTATGACTGGAACTGCACAAGTGGCCGGATGCTCCAGACTCCCTCAGGCTCCAGTTGAGAGATGAGCTGGACTCTTGTCAACACAGGGCTGCAGCTGCCATTGAAGCAGAAGCCTTACAGCTACCCTTCTCATCAATTACATCCCACCAGGGAAAAAACCTCCTGTAATGCATCCCTTTATATTAACACCATTCAGATAGCATGGAATTTTGCAAGCCATAACACCCATCACATTTATTCTGACAAAAAGCTGATCCAAATAGCATGTGTTTAGTGTTTGCAAATGTTAATGGGCTTCTGTTTTCCAATACAAACCACGAAAGCAAAAACAATCATATCACACTACTTGCAATGGAAATGGGAAATGAAAAGCAGGGGGCTGAAAGGTAATATCTCTAAACAGATGTTCCTCAGTCCTTTGATAAAAATACTATTAATTTATTAAAGAAACCACAGTGAATGTTAAGTAATCACGACGTCTGCAAAGGAAATCAGTTTCTTTCATTTTCTAGTTCTCTGACAGCTTTGATACAGCTAAAAATCAATCCACGTAACACACACATACATTCCCTCGTACAAGGCTGCATTCTTTTCTACACCTCTCCCTCTCTCTCTCTAGATATATTCTTATATATCTTATACACATGTATGTGTCAGTCTTCCATGAAGCAGTGTGAAAGAAGTCTCCGCATTTCCCAGGGTCTGAAAAGTTATTTCCTAGCAAAATCCGACAATTCACAAATGAGACAAGTTCTTGTCCCCAGCTATTGGCCCAGACATTGAACATAAGAGAGCAGAGCACTATGAAAAACCTCTGATATTAAAGAAAAATACACCAGGAAGAAAGTGATTAAATCTCTAGAAGCTCAAACAGGGGACTCAGAGGCAACCCAACCTCAAACAGCATTATATATACCTCATGGAAGTCAGTCACACTTTTGGCCATCCCTTCCTGAAATTTAGTGTAAACAGTGACACTTTATTCAAAGAAAAATACAGTACTGTGGGTGTTGGATGGACCCATTCCAACCTTAAAGAGGGCTTACTTTACAAATACAGCATGAAGTGAGCTCTGCTTCTACTAAATCCCACAGAGAAATCAAGCAACTGTGAATGGTCTTGTGCAATTCAAACTAAAATAACAAGCACTGTTCAAGACAGTAGTCATCTTTCATTAAGTTCATCTTCATAAGTCTAATAACTCAAGGATCTGGTAAAGTCAGCAGGGAAACATCTACTATTTCTCTGAACACTGAGTTTGAATAAGTAAATTGGAAATCCTGGGAATTTTAAGTAAATTTTCACATCTAATTTGGCCTGTTGTGTCTTGCTTCTCATCTCACACAAAATTTCAGCAAGTTCTAATATTACAGTCAATCTAAAGGAATATGTTCAAAGCCATGTTTTTAGCACCTAGTAATATCAGGTAATGAAGAACAGTCATGCTCATTAACTTTTCATTGTGAAATGGGATTTTTATCAGTGCCATAAAAACAAGCAAACAAAACCCCAACTGTCTTCTATTACACTGACAGTTGCCTTTGTTCATTATACCTGCTAATCAGCAATTAATTTAACGCCAGCATAACTGGAATGGAATCGTGGCTCCAGATGCTACGACAATGAAGTTTTCATTCCTTAACAATGCCTCTTTAGGAACAACAGGAAGGGAAGGTGTCTCAGAGAAAACACAATTCTCTGCCAACATATAAACTGGAGAAACGATGCAACAGAAAATTCTTCATGCAAAGAGCAGCTCAAGTTAAAAACTAAGCAGTAGGAGGCATTCGTAACAGCCTCCCTGGCTATCAATGGAGGTGAAGTGAAAAGACAGGTATAAGAACTCATATAGACTTTATAAGCAAGATGAAACCTGGTTTTATAATTAAAACATGGATAGCTGTATTTTTCAGTCATTGACTTAAAATGGTAAAGGACTGCTTTTCACCTTCTCTGGTGTCCAGAGGTCAGAAAGATGCACTGTGTGCTAACACAAGCAAACTTCTCAGTGCTAAACAAAGGCTGTTTTATTCTGGATTTTTAAAATATTCCTGGTGTAAACATTTAATATAATTCTTGTATGCTTCAGTCCAGCCCTCCTCTTTATCTTTTCCCCGTCTTCTGGATTCCCTAAACAAAAGCAGACCATGTTCATGAATTTATTCTTCTCTGTCTCAAAAGTGGGGAGAGAAGGGAATAGACTGCAAAGCACATCACCTCCAACACCAACCTCTATGGCTGCACACCAAGGGATCTTCAAGGTCTTGATCTCAGACATCAGTCTGAGAAATGCATTACGAAGAATATAATACATATTGCTCCTGTTCACTTTGGATTACAATTTCATTCTCCAATTCCTTTTGGCTGTATTACAAATAATTTTCTTAACTAATACAACCTATTTAAAAAGAAAAGAAAATATACAGTTTCTTTCTTTTTGGTCATACTCTAACACCAAATAACTTACTGAAACACAGAACATTTTGGTATGAAGTGCCCAAAGACTTCTGCCTGGAGCAACACTTCATAGCACAGCAAAACTCTACCAGTCCCCAAATCCAAGAGCACAAGCAGCATGGCAACCTCTCTGCCATTAAAAGCTTGCTTTTTTCTTTTTTTTCTTTCAGCATTTCAGTGAACTCTTACATTACTGCAGGCCACATATAAAAATCTAAATCTATCTGTTTGTACAGTATTAACCATCATAAATAACTGCAATATAATTGTAAAAAACCCCCAGTGTAACTGCTGGTGGTACTCTATGGTTGTTATTCTATTTTCTAAGCGTTTGGGGTTTGCTAGTTGATTCGCAAACTTCAGGAGTATACAATGGTTCTCTCAAACACAAGTCTAGATCAAGGAGGTTCTATCCCAGCACAAAAACACCCAACGCATAAAGCCAGAGGAATAAACAACATCCCTAGTGTTTTCTTGTTTCAGCTAATCAGACTGATGTATTATTTTCCTGTCACCACTTGTTTATCTCAGGTGTGAGCTAATTACTCATCCATTTCTAAAAGTACATAAAAAGAAGAACAATAGTCCAACAAGTAGAAGTCACTCCATTTACTCACCAATCCATTTCCTTTCAGCCTTTCCAGAGTTCAACCAGAGGAAGAGTGCAAAAATCCTGGGTTAAGTGGCAGAAATTTTTGAACCATTACTAAAAAGAAACTCCGTCCACATTGCTCACTTTCAAAGGATAATTCAAAGGAAATAATAAATGAAAAATGTTGAAGTATTTATAGGACTAAACAGAGGCCCACAGGTGCCATAAAGCTGATCCCCAGAAACAAAGTCTCCAGGTTACATTTTAATTAAGAAAACATTCACATATATGTCAACACGAAACAAAATATTCCAAAATGTAGTATCTTACATATTCCAAATCTAGTTTGCTAATATGCAATAGCATCATCATCATCATTATTATTATTATTATTTATTTATTTATTTAGCCTATTCCCTACTGCCTCACAAAGGCAAAACTGATTCTGGAAGTGAACAGCTTGCATGATATGCAGAATACATACTCTGTACATTCCTTCCACTAACATACTTTCAAATGGAACCATCAGTAAAATTCCCCGATCTTAGCATCCCTACATTAATTTCACTGCGTGGATATGACTCATTTTCCTCTTCTTGTTCCATATTCTTTTGTGTCCTCTTGGGGGGGTGGAGTTTATCAAGTGAAAAATGTTCACAGGCATCTTACATGGCTTTATTTTAAAAAAAAAAAAAAAAAAAGAGGAACAAAAAGCCCATCCAGACAGCTGCTTCTTTAGGAGAACAGCTTTACATTCCTGAGAGGGAATAACTGTTGGAACAAGACTGCCTTGAAATGTTCCAGGACTTGTCAGACATTGTAATCAGGGGACTTTCCCTGTGGTTGTCGCAGTCGAATTTGTAAGGTAGAAAATGCTCCCACAGTCACATGAAAGAAGAGCTGCCATAGATTGCGCAGTTCATACAGATACATGTTACACAGGCAAATTAACCCAAAAGTCAGGAAGGACTTGGCATTCCTCCACCCCGTGTAGTATACAAACAGGTAACACTGTCAGGAAGAAAAAAGAAATCAGATTACCACATGGAAAATAACTTCCACTGAAGAAACATTATCTGGTCATTGAGAAATTACAGACCCAAACCAAGTAAAACTCTAAATCAGACATGTAAGGACGGTATCAATTTTGCAGTCATGGTAGGGTGAAAAGTACCCAATATCAATTTTTCTTCAGTTAAACCCTCTTTGAGAACAATGCATGCATAATAATTGATTACAACCTGCAATAATGAGCGGCTAATGACAAAAGAAAGCAGATGTTCCTGAAAATCTCTGGTCAAAATAGACTCTGTTCCACCTGAACAATGGAGAAGGAACAAGAGCTGGTGTTAAGTCTTTTGCCAGGAAAGCAATGGGACAGACAAGGAAAATAGCAGGGCCCTGCAGCCAGGAATACTCAGCACAAGGTAATCCACCAGATACCAGCCCAGTGTCCTGTCAAGGTGAATGCAGGGGACTAACTGGTGCATGCAGAGAGGTCCATGTGTATCTGCTGTCCTTCTTCAGATGGTGCGAGATGGATCACATTTGGAGAGAAATACACTACAACTCTCCTGTAGTTCTACCGCGTTTTCACGGTCAGTTTCTGCACACTGGGAACTTCAGGACTGCCCACAGCTTCCCATTCTGCCTTCTTCCTACCACAACTGGAAATCTGTTCGAGTCTTGCACCTCAGTTTTCATCTCTAAAAGGAGATGGCTGTCCAGTACCTCTCTATGGACATTGTTTTTACTTCTGCTATTGTTCAAACTACTTCCTTGACTTCCACAAAAAACCTGCTTGCCCCCTCTGGATTCTAGTCATTTCCATCTGATGAAGAAAATTTTTGCTGTGCTTCAAGGTAGATAACATCACTTGGGCTTACTCTGTACTCCAAATCTGTTCCCAGTGAATATATAACCATGCTCACACAAATTTTTTAACAGCATTCATCATCAGATTATCTAAGTGTTATTTCTGTTCTTCTTGGGCATTTGCCACGTTTGATCAGAGTCAGAGAAATTCTACTTAACTTTTTCCATTTTTCATATCCCTCAAAAAAGCGCAAAAGCATTGCACATTCACAACTGAACAATGCAATTTATTGAGGTTACTTTATAGTCTATTCAAAACTTAACCACATTCTTATAAAGCATGCAGCATTTCCCCTGTAACTGTAGCTCAGATTAACAAAACTATACTTGTGATTTCTGGATATCTAAATATCTTCAGAGATGTGAGTACTGACAATAGCAGTAAGATTTACATGTCCTTCCTCCAAAGCAAAGTAAAACGAGAGGTAAGTAATCTGCGTGTTTCAGAATGCAGATGGAATTCCTCTGAACCTCCTTGGCCGTTTCAAACAGAGCAAATGCAACCTACTTGGGCTGACAGCTTTACAAATCACAACTAAAAGAGCAATTAGTTGGTACTCCTATTGCAGCAATAAGAATTCAGATAATTTCCTAGAGTCGTTGCCTCCACTGCCAACACATGAAGAAGTGTAGCTGCTTCCAAGATTAAAATAGTCAGGATATGCTTCATCAGAATGATTAATAAACATGAAGGGTTTAAAAAACAAAAACACTATGAAAGTTTAAATAGATCTGTTTTTAAATGAATTCTGGGGCTTATTTTTTCATTAATCTAGGTTTGAGATGCTAGAAGATTTGCCATTTACAAAACAGAGCACCACTCAAAAGCCCAAAACACTCTGGTTTCAACACCTCGCTATAACAAGTGCTGTTATATTCCTGAGGGCTTTATTTCTTCTATTGAAGGGAAGTGTTAGCACAGCAATTACTGAGCATGCTTTTATGCAAAAGGCTCCTCTGCTACTTCAGAGGAGACTTTGGTTTATTTATTTATTTATTTTTAATTAATATTAAGAAATAGCTGCAAGCTCAGCTCCTGACACTTTGCAGTTTGGGTACAACTCAGACACTTGTTACTTTTGTACATTCTCTTCTTCAGAAGAGACTAGAAACCATGGAGGATCACTAGACACGCCAGCTCTAGATAAACTGGAACAGGCATTTCTCGGTTTCTTCAACATTATTAACAAGTCTCCTAATCTAATGTTCACAGGAATCTAATGTTCCTGTGAACATTATAGCATTGCTATCTTGTCAGTGTTGCAATAGTCAGTTTAAATTTTATAAGCAAAATAGCCCATAACACAGAAACAGAATAACTTAAGAGTTTACTTGAAAATGGCACTTTCAAATATACAAAAAAAATCTTCACAAATGTAAAAAACTTTATGCAATTAAAAGTCATACTTTACATTTTATTGCTGCTTAGTGCCCTAAAGCTTTACATTTGATTCTGATGTAAAAGTGAACCTAAATACTGATAGCGTAAGGTTTTAGACAGTGTATGGTAGATGCTGATGGTGATGGGCCATTCCCCCTCAATGCTAGAACAGCTGCTACTTTTCTCCTTAGACAATCTAAAAATATCCAGAACACATACCATATGTGAAAATGTAAAGGGAACTCTATTATTATTTCAGTTTGATACATACAGATATACACCTGCAGCTTAACTGTCCACTCAATACATGCCATGTATTACTACAATACTTCAAAAAGTAGCAGAGGATTTTCTTCGTGCTCTCTACTCTCACTTGCATTCTCCGTATTTAGAGCTAGACTGTGAAGATGCTCATCCTGGTCCAAAGAGTTCCATTTCAAATACAAAATGAACTGTCATAGAAACTCTCCAGTTTATGCATTTATTGACTCCTAATGATCATGACCAATTTACATTCTTCATCATTGCACACTGAATGTTATTGAGCCAAAAACATCCTGTTCCATTTAGGTCCTATTTTGTGCCCGCACACCTAGTTTACAAACATTTTCTTGGAAACTAAAAAGAGAAACACACTGCTATGTTGTTATGAACAAGAGAATTCAAGAGAATACACCATTATGGAACTTGACTGGGTGAATGATAATGAAATGTGCTGTCATGCAACACATGGAATTATCTTGAACTCCTAAATGAGGCAAAAGAACATCAGAACGTGCCACAGAACCGACAGCCCTCTTAGTTCTGAAAAATGACCAATTACATATTGTACAAATCACACTAGTGGGTGTGAAACGAGAGTCTTGGCAGATATATTTTGAATATTAAGAAAAAGCCTACATTCCAAGCTGCATGGATTCTTTCTTTAAAAGTAGATCTATTCAAGTCAGACAGTGGGGGAATGACGTATGTCCTTATGTCTCAATGCTCAGACATTAATACTTTATAAAGAATAAGGTTACTAATTTGGTAGAGGAGAAAAGAATGTGTATTTTTCACACAAAAAAAAAGAATGGAGGAGCCCTATCTGATCTGATATGGAACAGACTGTTGGCATGGAAAATTAACACCAATCTGAAAAATTATTCAAGGCAAAAGCTGATGAAAAGTTAACAAGTGGAGAAGAACACAAATTGTACTGTGGCATTTTGCTAGAGATAGAGAGAATGGAGATTACAGGCAACCTGGACAAAAGGCTGACTGATAGAAAGGCTGATATAAAAGGAAATCACAGAATTGCCCAGATTGGTAAACACCTTTAAAATCATCCAGTCCAATCATTAACCCAACACTGACAAGTCCCCGACTAAACCATGTCCCTCAGCACTATGTCTACACGACTCTTCAATCCCTCCAGGGATGGGGACTCCACCACTGCCCTGGGCAACCCCTTCCAATGCCTGAGAACTCTTTCAGGAAAGAAATTCTCCCTCAGATCCAATCTAAACTGCCCTTGGCACAACTTGAAGCCATTCCCTCTTGTCCTGCCACTTGTTACTTGGTTGAACAGACCGACCCCCATCCTTTCACCCCCCCCTTTTGTAGAGAGCGAGAAGGTCTCCCCTGAGCCCGAGACATTATTTTATTTTACAAAAATCCTGACATTAATTTTATTTCACAGTCTGACACTGTACAATATTGGCACATGGCAAATGCAGAAACTGCATACTCCACTCCACGTGCAGAAGAGTAAAAGTCAAAAGAACTGCAGTAACAGCAATTGAGCATGACAGACATTATAGTCATAGCTAAACACAGCAGTAGAGTCACTGAATGCCAATGGGCACCATTTGCTACAAATTATATAGGAAAATCGAATTCAGATGCAGAATTGGAAAACCTACAGACCTGAAACGCAATGCGAAACATTAGTCAGGAGAAGGAAAACACAGTGGAAAGTGGCTGAAAGCTTTGAGATGGAAGGAGATGTGCAATAATGTACAAAGTGAGGAAAATGCTGGGTGTAGTACCTAGGTATTACTGTATTTACTTCAAATCTTCCCAAAGGAAAGAAGCAGTAAGGCATCTGTTCATACAGTTAGATTTACTTGAACTATGAAGTTATTACTTTAAGGAAATTACATAAACTCCATGTGACTTTAGAGATAAACTGTAAACTCTAGATAGAGAAGTATACCAAATCTCTTAACCAACTGGAGAAAAATGCCAGCAAAAAACAGCTCTTTGTATCAATCTACTGTATGATAGTTTATGAATAATGAAATAAAACAATAAACATCTTTATAATCACCCTACTCAAGTATCTGTGACATTTAAGAAAACATTATGACATTTATGCATGACTGGGTAATGTTTCTAAACTCTAGTGAATTATGCAAGCAGAAGAACACACCTGATACAAACAGGCTGCTGTTCCAAGAAAAAATGCAATAACATAGCTGAAATCTTCACCTTCGTTCTGTGAAAATAAAACAAAAAGCCACGTTTTACAAAGTTTCAGTGAAATACTAGATATTTAGAGTATGAAAGTTATTTGTTATTGTATGTTAAAACAGTCCCACACAGAGATTTATAATAAATCCTATACTATGCTAAACTGAAGGAGTTTGCACTAATAATTGCTTACTTATATGTCTGGAAAAAAATCCACTGTGCTCTGGAATCTGACCAAAATGTTTATTCATAACAGACAGCTAATGCTGAGATTTTCAAAAGCCTTCATTAAAGGCAGTTCAGCTCTAACACTAGACACTTACTTTCTCCAGATGCCTTTGCAAATTCAAGTCTAAATACTGGTAACTACCTTCAATGTCAACTTTGTAGAATTGTGCATTCCTCCAGCTTCACAAAATGGAAACAAGATAGAAGGAAAAGACACAAACTGGCCACTGGGGTGTGGTAAAATTCTACACAGAGAATAAGGCAGGCAGCTCTGTGTTCATGGCAGTGAGAACAAACAACAGCACACGAATTTACCAGAGAGATATTATCAGAAAATCAAGTTTTCTTGAAGGAAAAGATGGAAAAATTTATTTGAAGTGATAAAAGATTAACACTATTGTGTTCAAAAAACAAAACCCCAAAAATTCCTCTAACTTATTCAAATGGGTTGTTAACAGTTTCTATAGAGATGAGTAGAATAAATGGACATGCTCAGTGATTATTCTAACTGCACTTCCAACCAACACCTGTGACAATCAAAAACCTTCCCAGGTAAACAATGGCTACTCATGCAAATATTCTTCCTTGAAAGTGAATTTCAATTTAAGAAGGTGTCCGTTTGGAACTACAACTTGTTTCTGCTCAATGTTCAGTGTGAAGCATTTGCATCTACAGTGTTGACTAGGGAAAAGTTTGTATGTCCACACATAAAATCTCCCTACACAGTGCAGTCCATTCCTAAACCACACGTAAATCTTTGCCTCAGTGCCACTGCATATTTGCTGCAGTATAGATACAGCTTTTAACAGAGTTTTGCTAACACTCAAATAAAAACACTGATTATAAAGGAAACACTAATTCTGAGAGAAGTTTTTGAATGATGTCTCAGAAGAAGTTCCATTAATCAGGTTTTGGGTTATTTCTCCCTAAACCTTGTGGATTTTTCCATAATAAAGTAAACTAGGAGAAATTTGAATAGATTTTTAGTGTGCCTCATTTGTCAGAAATGAAAAAGGATCTTCCATCTGTACTGCCATCTATTACCTCCAGATGCAATAACACACAGAATAAAATTAAGTGGCTGACTTATCATCAGTTAAATATGTTAATTTAACGTTGGCATTCCTTTTTAAAAAATCAGCTGCAGAAAGGTAACAAAACAAGTTCTAGAAACATTACACTAAGTGGCAGAAATCTGTTCAGTACTATTTGTACTATAGTGTACTTTAAATTAATTCCTATTTATAAACTGAGATAATTGTGCATAACACAGAAAAATCTAATTAGGGAAAAAAGTAGAGATGTATGTTTACTATTTTGTTCTTGGATTTTCTTTAAAAAAATAAAGCAAAAACAACCCAAAAGAAAGACCCAGGACAGGACACTTTCACTAACCCTGTTCATCCATTCATTAGTCTTAAGGAAATGATGAGACTTCAAACATTACTGCTTTACCAAATCTTCACATATATCAATAATTATTTAAGACAACTGGAATACAGGTCATCTTCTTTATCTTACTTCCCTAAAATATCCATTAGGTATCAACAGCATTGCAGTTATAAAAGCCAGATATATGTTTGAATAAAAAGATTATCTGTTAGCCAAGCAGGAGGATTCCCATTTTCTTTCTGAAAACTTCCACTGCTTTTTAGTTTCTACCTCCATCACCACAACAGTAGAACCATTTAATGTTAAGTTAGTCTTTTTTTCGTGATAACATACATGAACTTTCTGTGTGTGCTTGGAAGCACTACCAGCATATTCACTTGAATTGCTTGACATCATTAACCACTACTATTTTCATTGTAGCTATGAGAATACAGCTAGCACAAGAAATGCAAGGGAAATAAATTGAAAGGCTATAAGGAGTGTCAGAGCAGAAAGTTCACATAAACAAATAAGTGTTTGTTGGGGAGGCTGTTTGGTGAGGGGGGTATTGTTGTTTTGGGGGAGGGCATTTTTAGAAGTCACTTCACAGTTTCCCTTACACTGATCCTTTCAGCACACAAAATGAAATAAGCATTCTACTTAAGAAGGCTTATTAAAAACAAATAAACGAAAACTAAAAAAAGTTTCTAAAAAACAATTTTACAAAACCTGTTTAAAGATCCCTGCTCTGTGCACCTTTCCAAAAAAAAACTTGACTGGATTTTCAATCAATTCTCCCAAGCATTTTTAAATAATGGCTATTAAAATTAAACATCTCATATCTTGGCACAAATTTAGAAAACAGACAATTCTGATTCCATGCTCACTGCTACTAAGGTAGAGGAGGAGTCAGCCACCCACCTTCTACTGCTTTTGAAACTCACAGCCTCAATGAATGATGCAACATGCTCAAGAAGGATGCACAGATCACAAACCAGACAGGTTTCACAAACACAGGCCTGACCTCACAAACAATATTTCTGAAAATAAAACTGGCAAGACAGTTCACATAGCAAGCTGCTTCTAAGCTGATATTATGATTGCTATGATGTGTAACTCTTAAATTCATAAACGTGTACAATACCTGGAGAAGACTTTCTATGGCATGAAAGCCGCGAATTAAATTCAAAGCCCCACATAACAGACTAAGTACAAATGAGACAATCCCTGGCAGAGTCACAGGTTCCAGACGCTGATGAGGAGCTGCAAAACAAAGATCAAAAAAAAGATATCAAAGGTCAAAGCAATGTCTTTAGAAATCTAGTAAAACAGTAATCTCATTTTTCAGTGGCTTCTGGCTCAAGATGAAGGTGAACCTCAAGGTGAAGCAAACCACAAAATGTCAGTCTTTTTTTCCAAAAAGAAGAAAAATTTAAAATATTTCAACACAAGGTTTAACAAAAAGTATACTTTCCTTCAATTCACATAAATAATTGTCTTATTATATTTAGTCTTTAACTCAATACATTTAGTTTATTCAGTATGGTGCTGAAAGCTGCTCAAACATGCCTGGAAATCGATGGCAAACAATGCATTTGCTAGTGAAATTTGTCTGCAATTAGTAGCCAGCTAATAAGTCACGTACTTAAGAGCTCCTCTCACAGCCTCCACCTTTCTTTAACACTAACGTATTAGCAGAGCCACTGAGACTGATTTAGCTTGTTTGCTGAACGGAACGCGATGAGGCAAAGTTATTACAGTTTCCTACCTTAAAAAATACAGTCAGTGAGTGCTGCCAAAGACACAAATAAAAAGACAGCTCTGAAACTCAGCTAGCATCTACATTACAACCTTATACAGAGCTTACAGACAGTGCTTGGAAGTCTCTTACAAAACACATTAAAATTAAAACTCTCTTTCCACACACAGCCGCTCTTTCGGGCTTAGCTAGGGTCACAAATACATCACAGTTGTTTATGCTCCTCATTAGTGTTCTTTTCCATAATTAATAACAAAAAGCAAATATAAAAAAAACAATGCAAAACTCTTAACAGTCTAGGGAACACTGGGAAAACAATAGGACTACTGAGCCATACTTAAATCATTCTGTTCAAATCAATGAAGTGTAAAGATGTGAACAATGAGGTTAATGAACTGTAACATTAATAGAGAGAGGGGTGTCAATCCTGGTTGTCTGCATTGTACAGATCCAAGAAAAAGGCTTTCCAAACAGTTTATGAAGTTACAGAACCTAAAGAAAAAATGACAAAAGCTATTTCACATTGATAAGCAGACACGGCTGTCTAATTATGAGTGTGTGATACCTTAAAAATAAAACACGAAATTAGTTTGGTTAACGCATCTGTGCTGAATTTAATAGTGTAATCAGTATTTTTTATTTTTTTTAAACAAAAGCATAACTCATGTTTAACTTTCAGAGCTGATTGCCTTTCTAACTGTAGTGCATATTAGAGGAATACTACCAGCAATCACTCAGTTAAGGTCAGATGCTATTTGCATATCAAACCATTCTTTTTCAAGTGACTCGTAACTGTTTGTTTTGTTCTTTAAAAAAAAAAAAAACAACCCAAACATCTCATCTAGACAGTGACAAAAAGATGAAGGTGTATGTGGCTGGTTTTAGCCAAAAGTCATTGCATTTCATTAACTATAACTGTTTGTTTTGTTCTTTTAAAAAAAAAAACCATCCCAAACATCTCATCTAGACAGTGGCAAAAAGATGAAGGTGTATGTGGCTGTTTTTAGCCAAAAGTCATTGCATTTCATTAACTGGTGGATAAAGTTAGTTCACTGCTCTCCAGACAATCTCATTTTCCCCATGTACCAGGGTAGCTTTAAAACATCATATGTTAAAACAGTATTTAAAACACCTCTTTGAGAGCCCTGGGGGGAGAAATAGAGTCTTGTCAGCTAAATCAATGTAGTCTATAAAGGATCATAAAATAGTAACTTTTATCTCTTATTAAAATATGAAAACAAACCCAAAAACTTTGAAGGACATTGCATACCGCTACTGATGTCATTAAGCTCTCCGGGGCTTAATACCTTTTAGTGCTACAATCAAAGCAACAAGAGTCATTTAAATACAACAACAACAACAACAACATAAAAGGCAAAACCAGAAGAATGAAGGAAGAGTGTCAGAGAAGGCAGAGCAAAGGACAGCTGACCTTGAGTCAGTACATCCATAAATCTTAAGAGAGACAATAACTGCCATATCAAAAACTCTCTAGCACAAGCCAAGGATCAAATAAAGCACAAATTTTGAATTAAAATGCCGAAATGTAAATAAAAAAAATTGAGTGTACTATCAGACAAAAAGTAACCTTGATCTGAGAACTGTTCCTTCATTGAAAAAAGCTCAGAAAACAGTGAATTTATCCTAACCAAATAAATACCTAAAACATCACACATCAGCGTGCTGTCACCCTATTTCTAATACCTGCCAACACTTACATTCACCTTTAAAGCAAAACTCTATCCGTAATCTGCACGCTTTCTGCTTCATACATTAATAATTACCTCTATTCCTCATTATACAGCACAACTTGAAGGAAAAGCTGCTATTTGCACTCACTTTAACAACATAAGAGGCCCAGACACTGCACCTCGGACACACATCCAATTACAAGTACACACAATTACAGACAGTGCTTCATCAGCATAGCCAAAACTAACACATCAACTTCTGCTACCTGTGTAACAAATCAAGATTTGCATCTACCTAACTTCCTATCTCTGCATACTATCCAACATGATTTAACACACTTAATTCACTAATAGCAAGTCATATTTTTAACAGGACAGCATATTCAGGAAGTTATACTAGTCAAACTGTATCTTTTTGTGAGAGTTGTCCTTAGAGCAAAGGAGAACCTTTGGCATGTAGCCAACTGAGGGGGTAGCAAACATCCAGAGAAAGTTCTTTTCAAGGGTGGAGAGAAGCGATGAATGTCAGGAATTACAGAACTATCAGCAGACAGGCTAAAAAGACACTGTTATTCAATAACATCTAAAAATTTAAGAGCTGAAGAAGGAGCAAAATGCAAACCTCTCATAACGTACAGCCCTTTGATGGTGAGTTTCTACAGCAATTCAAGGAAGGAAGTGGATAACTGAACAGAGAGATCTATGGAATTCAGAGGAAGAAGAAAGTTAAAAGTAACTGAAAGCAGTGGGAAAAAAACAACAGAAGAAAGCTGACACAGAACAAAAAAAGGACAACAGAACTGCTTCTGTAAGACAAGCTGTGGAGAGGTAGGTGAAAAAAAATAGGAAGATCATCTGTCAGTTATTGTGGTCCTTATGCATTTTAATTTAGGTGTATATGATCTTCTAACGTGATAAAAGCCTCGTCTCCCACTACATGGACAACTTTAAAAATACAGCCAATTTTAACACAGGTTGAATTATCTCATGCTAATTGGTTTTTTTTCTTTTTTCAACTGCAGGTAGATTGAATCTAGAAAATGTTCAGAATTAACCAGTTGTGACCATAACCTTTTCCACAAGCCAGGATTACACTAGAACATTAAAAGTAACAACAATATAAGCATCAGAAGTGGCCACAGAACGCTATCAGAACATTATGTACCTTGACATCCCACGCATTAGTGCAAGGACTTGGTAAGTTTTAAGTTTTCTGTCCTGCTGGGAAACATCTAAAGGTGTGTCTCAAACTGATTCAGAGCATTTACTTAATAGTACAAACCCTTAACTCAGTTCAACCACACAACTCTCTATTTACCTTCTACATGAAGTAAAATTAAAGTTTTAAAAAATTAACAACTACCTAAATGAACACATCAAGTATATACAAAATTGCCATTACTGACATCACACACAAGGCACTTATTTTAGAGAGCAGATCTTTTCGCCAGCACAGCTCTTGGGATTTTCAATCACAGATGCTTCCTACAGTGATGTTTCTCCCTCCAACTACTGTAACTCGTGACACTGTGCTCTTAGTTTTTGTCATCATTGGGTCTTACTGGGCAGAAATAATAAAAATTTTCATAAATCTTAAAAGGTCAGAAAAAGAAAGAAGATCATCCTGTTAAATCCTCATCTTCACTTGCTTATTTTCATGTAGACTTTTTTCTCTTCAATAAAGCAGCCCATTGAATAGATCCATTTCTCCCTCTGAGTGCCCTGGGATATGCACTTTGAGCAGAAGACAAAACAGACATATAAGCTAAAATACACAGAAGGTCACGGCATCTTTATACTTTAAGAACATCATGGTGAAAAAAGTCTTAAAAAAAAAATCAAAAGAAAGATTAATTCTACTGCCCTGCATCTGTCTCATTTCAGGATACAAAAACAAATGTCTGAAACTTACCTGCAGATATCTTACCAGTACCCTTATATTCCACCACAGAAGAATGTGTGAACCCATTAGCTGAACCAAGTTCTGACATGGAAATTTGATAAGGTGGTCTCAGTTTGATTTCTGTCTGCATGTCAGCAAGATTCATCTTCGTTGACAAAGAACGTGTGTTGTTATATCTCTGTTTGGTCCTCTGAATGAAATTGTCTGTGTAAAATTTAAAATAAAAAGTTATATCCTTATGGACTTTTATTAATTAAATAATCCCAAGACTATTCAGTATGTATGTACTGAATGTATGTACTACATACTTCACAAATTCAAATATATTGTTTGAAATGCTCGCACTTACCTCAGAATTACCTTGTTTTGTGACTAATATACCACAGGCTATTTAATTCTCCAGTAAAAAAAATTATGCTCTAGAAATCTAATTACTTAATAACTGTGAATAAACTAATGACTTTCCACTACATGAGACCAAACGCATCGCTGATACAATGGATTTACTGCACTTAGTCTAGCTTTTCCAATGGTTTAGTAAATATCATTATGAAAAAATTAATGCTTGCATTCAAGTATAAACTTAAAGTATGAAACATGCCTGCAAAATATAGGTAGAGAAAATTAGTATCACGTTATGCAGGTATAAAGACTGCAACAGACCTACATTATAACTTAATAACTAGTAAAAAAAAGGCAGCATTGGGGGAAAAAAAAAGAGTATTCATAGAAATCTTCATAAGGAAGACAAAATACAAAATTGTTAAAAATGGACTGACTAAATTATAGACAGGAATTAACCAAGTGGAATATTTCCCCCCATATTTCTAAAACTGTGGTTCTATTTCCTCTAATGAGCTTTATAAGAATATTTAAAATAACTGCCTAACATATAGTATTAAAGCAAAAGATATTAACAGAATCCATAATAGCTATTGTCTGGTATATATGAGATTAGTTGTATTTGGAGCTTGCATGACAGAAGATTAAATGCTTCTCTGTATCATAAGACAAATAAAAATCTCTCCCTTTCATGTACTGAACAAAAATTACAGCACAGCTAAGAGCAAACATGAAATTGCAATCTTGTACTTGAGAAATTTACGACCCAATGGCTTTACAGGTTAAGTATTTCAACAAGTATGAAGTCAAACAACTCCTAGTATTATTAACTAGAAGATGAACTCCAGATTTGGTCACACAAGGCTTAACCCAAAACCTACTGTAATTAACAGAAAGATTATAAACAAGTTTGAGTAAAACACTAGTAGGCCTAATTTAATGCCCACAGAAGTATTTCTTTATTGACCCTAAGGAGAGTGAAATCAGATTCTAAATCCACCTGAAATACAGCTATAAACTGCCTTGGACATTTTGTTTTGTGTGCATTAAGTTGGACATCTATTTAAATTCTCATTTGTCTTAGTGTGAGAATTAAAAAAAATAAAATAGAATTAGATCCTTACCAAACTCTATAAAACAGTACGGTCTGACAGCTGTATTTGTCTTCATCATATTGTAGGTAGTGATGAACTCTTTCTGAAGCTCATCCAGGAAGCAGAAAGCCAAAACACTGGGATAATTTTCAGTGCACAACATCATATAGCTCACTCCCAGAGAACTGATAAAGCTATAATTGAGACAACAAATTCAAAATTTCAAATTTAAATCCAGGTAATTCAGTGCTTCAATAGTTTGATCTCGTATTCTATAATCAGAAATGCTAGAACTGCTCTGGGGTAACAAAGGAATTAATGCTTACTGAAAAGCCCAATGCTATTCTAGAAGAAAAACAATTTACTTCTAGGTAATGTTTTAATTAAACATTGCATTGTACCATCATATGAGAAGCTGTGTTACACATATATATGTGTATGTCTAAGATGTGTGTGTGTGTATAGGTATGTTCACACCCTCACATGCAGAGAACATAAAATAACACAAAGGTTTTGAGATACAGAAACAGAGGAGGCTTGTCCCATAATCACTTTTCCTTCATCTCAAACGCAGAATATGTGATCTGCTGAATCCCCAAAATGTAAAAACTTATTTTCAGAGTAGGGGGGAGGGCAGTTGGTTCTTTCTAAACTACGTGAGAAAATAAAACTGTTCCATAGAATAAGGGATTCATCATTCTTCACAGTTAGCTGCAAGGATGATCAGAGATGGCAAATACGAAATTAGAAAGGGACCGTTTTCAATATACATATTGCTTTTGCATTTAGGGAATTCATTAAGTAGAGATCACATTTTCATGACAAATATCTTCAAAACCTTGGTAGATAAATTACACCATTAAACATAATGAAAGACAAAAGTAATAAAATACTCCTGACTGAGCCTTATGTCTCATTTTTAAAAGTTTCTTTTAAGATGATCAGTTTACGAGCCAACTACAGTCGAGGTTTTAAAAAAAAAAAAAAATTACTGGAAAAAGTTAGTCCATGCTGGGCCTAACCCTGAGGAATGCTGGAAACTCACATATACCAATGGCAGATGGAGAAGGCCAAGCACTTTCTAGGATCATTCAGGTGGTATACTGTTCCACCACTGTAACTTCTACCTTCGTGTCAACATGTTTGCTAGGGATGAAATAATTCACTTCATTTAAAACAGCATATCTAAATTAGAATTTATCTCAGCTAAAGTGCAACCAAATCTCCAACTACACACAGGTGCACTTAGTTACCAATACTAAAGAGGAAGGTCCCATACAAAGCAAAATTCTGAGTAAACAATAGATTCAAAGAATTACATAATGATAATCCAATTACCACGCTGCAAATGGGAAAAAAGAGCATCTTCTGCATTATGACTTAATCAGTGTTGACACGCAGGTACACTATCAAATTGACTAGCTCAAGAAATATTGGAATAGTTATTAAAAAATAGTCAAAACACAAAAGGGAAAACAAAAAGCATTGATGTGAAAGTGCTGGCTGGAGCAGTAGGATAGGTAGTCTCCATTCAACCATTGAAGACTTTACTACACACTGCCTCCACACTAGAAAAATCATTCCCACTCCTCTTACTCCCTCACTCTTTGTGTGCATATGAAATAGTTATTCAGTTATACTTGGTGTCCAGGGCATGGTTTCTCTGAAGTTAACAGAAATTCTGAAGGTACAATGAAAGGGCCTAATTCCCTAACATCATAACCACAAGTTTTCAGAAATACTGGGTTATGAAAGTATTTCGGTGCTTTTTAAAATTTGTGTAGACTAAAAAGAGAAAACAAATGAACTTTAGTTGAACCAGCATGATGAAGAACAAGTCTGGTCATTTTCATACAAGAAACAACCTTGAGATTTAAAGAAATATTTCTAGTAGGCCAAGGACTTACATATTTATAAAAATACTGTCAATTTCAAACTAGAACTTCCCTCATAGTTTGAGTAGATTTCAAATATTTCTATAATCTCTCAGTTTTAAATTTCTGATAAAATAAATACTGCCAAGAATTAACCTTAATTTGATGAATCACTTCTAATGTGATCTGTTAACTTTTTAACTTAGAGACAGACAGAACCCAGGATGTCACAAGTATATAAAAGAAATCTTACTTTATATTGTAATGCCCAGTTTTCAGAGTACATCTATCGGGAAGCTGAGAAAGTTTCTTTGAAAGCATTTTAAAGTATTTTCTGCATTCTTGCATTCCCGTGCTCTGATCATAATCAGTAGATGCAGACAGTGGGAGTCCATCCCTCACACGGACCACAGAGGCAGATAAAATCATAGACATTGCCAACAGAGTTAACGACAACCTACAACAAAACACCAATCAGGAGAAATCAGAATTAAGGTACGAGCAAAAACAACGGAGTCAGCTGCGATTAATCAAACTTCCCAAGCTGCATACTGGGCCCAGGCTTAAAATGGGGCACAGGGAGGATTTTCAACTACAACTCAGATTAGAGTCTTAACTAAATAGGACCTATTAGTCTATGCAAACCACAAAGCAGCACTTCTAATGTAATGTTTTAAAATATTTTTATTTGAACTGCCATAAATCCTCACCTAGAGATACCTGTGGAGATTAAAACACCATTACTTAGCCTTGGTAGTACTGTAGCACTTGCATCCTTCAAGCTGTGAGTCTTCTTGTTTAGTGAGACAATAATTACAGTCTAAACAAACATGTTTAAGAGAAAAAATGTGTATTGTAAAGATATGCCAGATGGAAAAGTGACCCAGGTCTTGAACAAGCAATAATATTAACGTGCTTCATGAAACTGTGTTACTGAGTACATGCTTAAGTGCCCTGACAAATAAAAACTTACATAACCTATGTACAATCGAATAGGAAATGAAGGAATTGGGACAGGAAGGAATATAATCCAACTCTCCCAACTCACAACAGAATTTCTTAAACATGAAATGTCTTTTTTCTTATCTAGGTTTCCATTTTCTTTAAATCTGCAAAATGAGTCTATCGGCATTACACAAATACTGAACCAGTTGAAATGGTGTTTGCAAAGCCTACATGCTTTTGCTGTATTTAACTTTCAAAGTATAATAATTAAAGCTTTGTGGAATATAGTCACTTAAAAAAGAAAAAAAAAGTGTGTTTAAACTTTTCTTCCTCAAACAGAGAGAATTTCTAAGCAGACATTTAACAGTATAAACACATAGCCTGCAGAGTCTTTCAAGACTCAAAACACATATAAAACCTTCAAGTTCTTCAAATCTTACGTTAAATCAAAGCATCCAAAAGTTTAGCAAGACAAGCATTAGAAGGATTACTTATCTGCTAAGTATCAGTACACAAGTTTGTCCTCTTACAAGTGGGCGAACTGCTAGAATTCAAATGCAGCCAAAAGCAAACACTTCCTCAACTCCTAACACTGCTCTGCAGACTCCTACCACGTATTACACCTATCACTTAAGAGATTATGAAAAAAATAGATTTTTGCCTCCCTCAGATGATGCTACTCTAGTTCCATCCAGTCACAAACTGCAAAAGAAAACAGCTTTCTGAATACAGTTGAAATATGCTTTCGTGTGCAATACTGACATGTTTACAGCACCTTTCAAACTATGACATTAAGGGTGCTTCATAAGCCTTAGCAACTGAAGGGTTGTATTCTGAAAAGTTAGGAACCCAAATTTTCCCAAAAAAAAAGCACTGCTGCTTCATAGAAGTGAGGAAACAGCTGTTTTTCCCTGAACTCTCATGTCCTCCATTTCCCACTACCCAAAGGTTATATATACATCAGGGTACGTACTGAATAATAATCAATAGTCAGGTGTTTTTTAAGTGTATTTACTTATCAGAGAGAAAGAGGCACATAGTAATGAAAATATTGAAAACGTGTTGTAATTTTCAATTTAAGAAATTGAGCATTAGCTAAATAAATCCCAAATTAATACTGTTCTAATTGTACTTGTATAGCATATCAGACTTTCACCGAAGTCATAACAGCAGCAGAAGGAACTGTTGCCTGCACTCTACTGAATACCTCTGGGCTTTTATCAGGTGCACTTGTTATTTCAGCGCTTGACTACAGAATTCCCTATTGTACGAAGTGCTTTGAACAGCTAGACACAAAACCAGAAAATAAATCAACTTCAGGACTTGCTCTAGATGAGCTTGCTGGAGTGAAGCATTCTAGAAATAAAACCTGCGGTTCTAGAAACTTGTACCTATCTCTATTTGAGTTCACACACGTGCTCCCAGCAGGACAATTCATGTGGAAGGCACACAGCACCTGTTTTCTTAACTATGTTGCTAACCATATAACCACAGCAGCAAGTAGCTCCAGAGCACGACAAAAATGCAGAGGGGTTTTAAATTGTAGTGGTTCTCCAACAATAACCACCTCTACCACCTGGAACTCAATCTTGAAAGGGACTTCCAGGAGATTTATCAATACAAACATAAGAATAATGATGTAACAGCAAAGTTTAAAATTCCCCCCATTAACTTACTTGCACAAAATGTAATTTCATGGATCTGCATTTCCTCTGATGAAGCAAATAACTTCATTAGCATCTAAAGTGAAGAAAGGAACATAGCTCCATGTCCTGTTTTAGGAAAAGGTGGTGAATAGAACAGCGCTGCAGGAGAAACTCAGAATCCTGTAGCCAGCTCTCAGAAGGAAAGATATTGTTCTGTTCACTTTTAAAATGATCTTGATGGTTAAAGTTCATGTTGAGCTATCTGATGAGATAAGAACAAACAGAAAAAGTTAATAAATTGATTTACTGGCTAACGATATTCTTCAGCAATTTTTGTGAGGGTGTGCTTATGGGGCAGGCCTGAACACACCCCAGGGAGATTACTCAATCACAGAATCACAGAATGGTTTGGGTTGGAAGGGACCTTAAAGATCATCCAGTTCCAACCCCCCTGCCATGAGCAGGGACACCTTCCACTAGACCAGGTTGCTCAAAGACTCATCCAAGAGGTGCTCAAGTAAAAAGAAAACAAGAATAATAGAAATATTAAAATTCTTCTATGTTATTTAAGTGAAGTTGAGGAACATCACTTCAGCCATTTAAGAGGGGAAAATATGTATTCGCCTGCACAGTACCTGAGTAACTCAGGGTAACACAACCTTTGACTCTGAATCCCACCATTCACCTCATACACTAAGTTTAATTAACCTATAACTCCTCTGATCAGAAATCTGAACGCTTCAGGAACAGAATACAACACAATCACTGCTGTATTTCCAAAGCCTTGAAATTTCCAATACTCAAACTAACAATAGTTGCTTTACTCCTACAACTAAGGACAAAGAATCTAAATGTCACTAAAAACAGCATGTATGCATGGACAACAGACAAAGCAAAGGATAAAGACCCTTTTAGAGGTATTCTTTCAATTTTACATCTATTCTATACGTAATTAATAAATATTTGTATAAATCTAGAACGAAACCAGCTACTTTCTTCAAGACTTCTACTTATACTTAGAGAAATTAGGCTCTCCTACTAAGATAAGCCTCCATTAAAACCTGCCAAGTCTCTTAAAGTACTATGAAATCACACAAGGTAAAAACTGTAGTTAGATGAACAGGCTTAAGATCACCAGTCAGCCAGGTTTTGTTACCATCATCTTAAAAACGAACCCAATGAAAATATGTACTTTTTGCTCAGCTTCCTAATAGCAGGATCACAAAGCTATCTAAAAAATGAAGCTAATAAAAGAAAATCACTTTGGTTACAAAGATTACACATATGTAAATAGATGTGTAATACATGTACAATAACAGAACATTCAGCCTTACTTGAAAATGTAACAATATAGAAAAAAAGTTTACTAAATCTTCAAAATGAAAGAGCTACTTTACTCAGCTCTCAAAATAATAAGGCTCTACAGAAGGAGCCAAGTGGTAAATTTGATATAGACTTATACAGGTAGAGATTGAAGAAAGAACACTGAAGATATGGTAGTGTTTTTAGAACTATCTTTACATGTCCTTTTTTAAACATCTATTAAAAACTACACAAAGTAATTCACCATACCATTACAGATTTCATAGGTTTTCCTCCAAAAATTCTATACCCATCAAACACCTAAAGACGACCAAAGACTGTACTTCCAATCCAAATGGTCTATAAATCCATCATAGGTGCAAAGAAATAATCAAGGACTGGGTCTGCTCTCTCATTCTATGACAGAACTGAGGAACTGCAAATCCAACCAGCAGGTGCTGGGCTTATGGGTGCCAGAGATGGTTCTTCACAAAACGTGCACTTAGCCAGTGGAACTGCTTGTCACAGGATGTTGTCGATGCTAAAATGTTATGTGAACTCATGAGGCAACTGGAAAAGCTCACAGAAAAACCACAAGGGTTATTAAAACTAAAACACAATGCTTTGCTCAGGGAGATTCTGATCTCCAAATGATCACCAACAGGGAGAGTACACCACGGAAGCACCACTCCATGCTTGTGCTGTTCTTACGTTTCCCTGTGTGCCTCTGCTTCTGGCCCATCTTTATTGATTTCCCCTTTCACCGACATACACAGCCCTCCCCACATATGAGGGCTGGGACACTGCATGGAAAAGAGGAACATGGAGAAAGCTGGCCGCAGGCAGGAAAGAGTCAACTGAAACACTTCATTCCTCTGTTACTGCACTGTCCCTCAAGGTGTCCAATTTATCACACACATGTCAACCTCCACTGCTTTCACAAATAGGAATCATCACATGTGGCTTCAGCTTCATCTCCTCCCATGAACGGGAAGCCTCAGATGACAGAAACCAGAGCCTGTTTTACTACACTCTTTTTTTTAAGATAGATTCAATTATCATCTCGTCTATTTATGTCTTAGGATGGTACTTGATCCTGTATCCTAGAAAGTGATACACGTTCCAGTCTTTTGAATTGGTCTTCCAACTTGTGATCTGACAGTAATTGTTTGATACCTATCTAACATCTTCTCATAACTTTTTTTATAAGTAAGTGTTTGAAAGTAACCTGTGAATATGATTTGCTTAGGATACTTCAATTTTTTAAAAACAGGCTAGCTACACAAAAATTGAAAGATTCTAAGCAGTGTAATGGCAAGCCTACTCTCCGGCACCTGCTGGCCTTCAGCACCAACTTCATCAGGGCACTTCTCACCAGACCGTCTGCCTCTCAAGGTAACTTTCCATAAAACATAAAACTGGGAAGCAGGTGCAAGCTGCACACCTGCTTGACACAGAATGAAGGTAACAGTTTCTGTACTTACTTCAAGTGTACATAATAGCATTGGACAATTTATTGTGCCCACTTTTGAGGGTTGTGATGGCTGCATTATGCAGTCAGGAGTCTTAATTCTTCCACTCTACAGCATAGTTCAGAAATCCGTATTACAAACTAAAGCACGACAGAAGGACACAACAAATAAAGCCACTTTGACATCATCAGGTATGATCAGACAAGGAAATAATCCTAAACCACTAGCCCATATAATCCTGCCCATAAAGCTGAGGAAAAACAGACCCTGGAAACAGAATCACGATTCTGAAAAACTAAGGGAACGGGACAAGCTGCACCCCAAAGCTCGGGAACTTGCCCCTTCCCCCCACCACAGCTGGGACAGGATGGCCACACTACACCGTGTGACACGGCAGCCGGGGCAGGAG